TATTTTATCTCCACCAGCATCGCTAACTGTATGGACGCGCATTTCTAACTATAGAGCGTCCAAAGTTAAGGATGAAGTACAGGTTCTTACGGATTTTTCCGGTACGTAAACATCCTCCCCGTTTTTCAGATTTCAAAACTATTTTCAATAATCATTAATGAATTTTTTTATAAAAATATTACATTATTAAAATAATTCCTCGAATACATTATATATTTATGGTGAATATCTTTAGAATCTATTAATTTTTGTAGGAAGGCATACGTTTGGTTGTTGGATCAGCCGTAGCTGATCGGTTGCCACGTGCTTCGGTTGCTATATCATACTGTTGTCAGAAACTTCGATTTCCAGTTGTTTACCTGTGTTTGTTCGCCTGTGTTTAGTTGTGTTTTGTTTTTGATATTTCTAGTCAATCATGTCAAAGTTAAATGTAATTTCGTTTACTTTTCTTCTTTTTTTAGGTTATGATAAGTTTATTGATTGACAAATTTTTAAATTGAAATTGTTTTGTTTTGCAAAATTAATTTAGAATGTGTAAGCCAGCAACCGTAAAGTGCCAAAAAGGTAAAGTGCTCCATACTGGGGAAGAACAAATGGTTATTAATATTTATAACTATTAAACTATAATTATGTTTTCGAACGGAATTTCTACTCAATACCTATTGGGAGATAACTCCGCCATACCAGCGCGAAGCAGCTCGTCTTCCCGTGAATCAAATGAGTTTGTTCCCATTGGTCCGGCTTATTTTGTCGACAAATGAATATTTTTAATATTGTGTTCGGTAATCAAAACTTATTATTTCTCCACTGTTAAAAAGGAAACAAGAGTTTTAGCCTTTTTGCAGCTGCATGTAGTTGGCTTGAAGTTTGAATATTGTATTGAAATAGTGGTGCACTTTAAAATTAATATATCTTCCAGATTTCTTACGACATTTCGAAGCACAAACGACATGAGAAGCTTAACATAACCGTTTCCTGCGTATCGGAGCCTCATAGGAATATGATATGAAGAAAGGGAAGAAAATTCGCTTTCATAACATTGAAAAGGTTACAGACAAAATAGAACTATACGTCGCCGACGAGCGCGTAACTTTCGATTCGTACAGCAGTAAAGCGCCACGTTTGGCATTACTGTTGCCATGAGACACCCTACTTCATTCTTAGCCTCGGACGCGCCATGGCACACAAAAAACAACAACAACAAAAACATGCCAAGCTGAGCTTTGTTGCTGTATTATATGTATGCTGTGATAGAACGGATACCTAACAAATGGGTCCCAATTAAATTCCCACAAAGGCTAGTAGCGGTGCAGCAAAACAGCTACCGAATAGTTCTCTAAAGGCTAGTAGAAATGCTTAAGATGATTTTTTACTAATAGCAATGCACTATAAATAAAATGAAAGAAAATTATATTATTTTATTAAACATGATCCAATTACATTAAAAATAATAACCTTAAACACCGTGGTTATATTGTATTGATATTTTTCCTCTTTCACAGAGGTAGGATATGAAGAAAGTTCGGGCAACGCAAGGTATTTTGCTAGTAAATAATAAAATAAAACTAAAATGGGTTCAGGTCACTGTAAGTTTCTATGTTCTTCAGAGTTATATTAATTGCACCGCTTGCATCTTTCCTTCATTTGCAGGGATAACGTAACGCTTACCAATCAAAGCGTATTTCATCTGTTTTATGGCAGCTTTGATTCCTTGCGACTGAAACAAGATGTGCTGTATTATTGGTATGATCTTCTCAGTAAGTATTATTGTTAAACTTTTAATAGTATTTTTAACTCAACTTCTTGAAGAGATTTGTATATTTCTTTATTAATGAATTCACTTTAAAAGAGATGTATACATGCAAGAATGATAGTTGCAAAGAAAGTGCAAAGGTGACAATCTTGGTAGGTAGTCTTGGTATTGATCTCGGAGATAGTCTTGATGTAAATTGATATTAGTAGATGTTAGTAAATGTTTTAACTCAAAGTGTTGGGGTGAGCTGAATGTGTATATTATGCAACATAATTTGAAGGAATTAAATTAGACTATGTCCAAACTGGAGTAATCTTAAAATTACAGTATGTTCCATTGATGAAGTATATTCCATTATGACGAACAAATATTGTCTTGCCTTTCTTTTTTTACTATAATGGAATGGTTTATTTCTGCACATTGAAAATAAACTATTTATAATGCAATGTGTATTAGTTATTAAAAATTAATGCGTGAAAAGTGTGTAGGAATTGAAATTTCTTCAGTTTGGATAAATTTCCTACTTTTCGTATTCGTACACTAGTGTGAACTTTGGTACAGAGAAGAAACCAAAAATGCCAAGAGAAACGGCAAGAAAAAGAAACCCCGCGAAAGGGAAGAGCGATTAATTGTGAGAGAGATTGAAAGAAAACCAACTCTGAGCGTGATACATCTGCAATCTTGAGGTGAGTGAGAAAACCGTAAGTGCTTCTTCTATTCGAAGGTTGTTATGCAGACATGGAACGGAAGAGTTGTCTTATGAAAAATGTCTTATGTTAGCAAGAAGACGACAAAAGTATTAATGTTCCAAAAGGAATACTTGAACAAGATCAAAGAATTCTGACAATGTGATCTGGACGGATGAGGCAAAAATATTTTTTTTGCCTCAGACGGCATCCACAGAGTGTTGAAAAATACTGACAATTATTATGATCTGTAGGTGTATCACATCAAGAAGAGACGGAAATATTAATTTCATAAAATGCATTATGGAGAAACATGTACATATATAACAACATCCTGAAAGGACGTTTGAAGCGAAGTGCAAAGAAATTGGTTATACTACCGATTTACATGTTCCAACATGACAAAGATAGCATGTATTCCACAGGAATTAATAAGCAAATTGTTAATATGGAGGGTTAATGTAAAGTGTTTTTTTTTTCAAACGTCCGTCCGTCTGTAGTCAGTGAAAAATACTGGCGCCTTTCATATGCGTAGGTTTTTTCCCAAACTGGACATTCCCCTGACGATATTAACTCACTCGAAGCTCTTCGATTTTGAGAAACATTCATTAATTTTTGGGAGCACTTTACATGAAGTATCAGCGACATTTTCACAATTTTATCGAGAACGGTCCCAAATTTTTACTTTTAATTTCTTGAAGGAATGGAAAGGATTGAAATGCACTTATAAAGATGTTATAGGTTCGATTTTAACTGTTAAGTCTAAAATTTTGAAAATTGAAAAAAATATTTTCGAATTGTTGAAATGAAAATTGATACAAAATTAAAGATGGAGATTTTTTCTGCAAATGAAGTTTGTTCTGCATAATTACTTCTTTCATTAACCTTATGTGCTTTTGAAAATTTTAGTAGTTTTCGTGCAATATTGAGTGAAATATGCAATATTGATGCGCTGTTTAAGATGACGTAAAGCTTTGTATTCTTTTGTTTTTTCAAAAATTATGCAAATATATTTTTTGAAACATCTCTCACTCCTTTAATGTGCACATTTCCAACTTGGTCAAAACATTATTGCATTTGTGAGTAGAAGTATTTCAAATAACTTCCAATGAAATTTCTCGATCACTCAAACGTTTTCTGTAAAAAAGGTATTCAAAGTTCGCACTTACAGAAACGCTTAAACAAAATGTTCTTAAAAATGGCTCCGAATTTTTCAATGAAAATGTCCTTTTAGAACGAGGTGTTTCTCTTCAATTGTTAAGTAATATTATGATGTTATTCTTAAAGTAATATTTCCGTTCTACAATTAGGAAACCGAAAAATGCAGAAATTTTAAAAACAAATGTACCTTGGGGCGCGTTAGATGGGGTCTGGTAAAGGATTCGGCAAGACTGAAAAGCTAGCAAGACCAAAGAAATAAACAATTAACTAGTATGAGAAAGTATGTGCCAAATGTAGGGCCACTAGTTATATATTTTAACCTGTAATGTCTAAAATTCTATAGAAAATAAAATAAATTTCATTTATAAAAATAATCACTATTTTTTATGTTCTTGTGGCATCCTTTTGGACGGATAACTAGTGGTACAAAAACAGTACGTAGTTTTTCTCAAGTAAACCTTCCCATACAATGCCTGGTAGGGCCGCCCTGGTAGATAAGAGCTCCTAGCATTCCAGGCCGGTACCGGAGTCAAAACAACGCGCCATTCACATGCACCGGCAAGAATCCCCTCGTCTATGCCCAGAGTTTTGGGCCGCTGCCGCGACGAAGGCAAGAGCCCAACAGGGGACCTCTCGAACTATGGGCCGAGCTGCTTGGGGCCCCTTCCCGTGTCCTCACTGCCTATCGCCAGAACCTAGGCAATATGGCTGGTGGTATAAGGTTCCCGTCGGTCTTCTATATGTGGGTTCCAGATCGTTCCTCCTTCACCCGATCCTGCCCAAAGGTCGTCGCTTCGAAGGCCTGACTGGCGGGTTATCGAAGAAGCTCGGCAATCAGGAGCATAGCATCGCCTACTCACTGCCTCCACCTTGAAGCTACCTCGAAGTCCCCGTGGTCGTCTGCAACTCTCCATCAGAGACCGTGACCACCAACGCAGCCACGCCCCCCCCCCAGCAGGGAAATATAATGTGTATCTCATTGTATTTTTTGAGGGAGAAATCCACATTCTTTCTTATTAATATAGTAGTTAAGAAACTATGGAAGTATAAAAAAACAGCTCGCCATAGAAAAAAATCTGTGGATTTTGTTCTTGAGTTCTTTGTCTCTCATTTAAATTTAATACTTCTCTTGTTTCATACCGATTTCTGTATTACTATAAAGTGTGTTAACCTTTTAAAATGTCAATTAAAGTCTCAGTGTTATACACTATTATCTTCATACCGATTTCGATGATACGATGCAATAAAGTTTTTGATGAGATCTCTGCAGTAAAATTATTACTATTTTACATTGAACTGTAATACTATTTAAAACCTACAGTTATCGAGCCGCGCGTACATTTATTACAGACAATATACAAAAAATAGATGTTACTACGTCCAAACAATTTAAGTCTTACTTGTGCTTTTGCAGGTAACTTCGGGGGCATCTGCGGCCTCTTCGTGGGCTTCAGCCTGATCAGCGTGGTAGAGTTCTTCTACTTCTTCACGATTCGCATGTTCCTGGCATTTCGCGACCGGGGCAAGCGGGCAGCGGCGCGCGACCTCGGCCACGCTTCTCCGGTCGCGGGCGCGGCCGCGCCGGCGCCGGCGCCGCAGCTCGCCCGCAAGGCCAGCGTCGGCTCCAAAGTGTATTGGCAAGAGATTCTCCCTCGCTATTAGGGCTCCTTTGATTGGAGAATGGGAATGCGAATCCACGAATGGGCGTCTATAGTTTTTATACACCTAAAGAATAATGATTGAAACAAATTAATAACCTAAGAAGCCACTATAATGTATATTAATACATTTTGCATTTTGAAATTACTTTAATATTCACATAAACTCCTGAAAATTAAGAGAACATTAAAAAAAAAACTATAACTGTTTAAGTGCTCTTACACTTCAATAAATTGGCTTGTTTTCGTAATTATTTAATCATTTTCAAAAAATTAATTACTCATTTCGATGATCTGTTTTATTTTTATTTGGTTTCTTTCATTTTCAGTAATGAGCCCATTTGAACTTTCTTAATGTTGTGATGTGTTTACAAAAATTAATTATTTAATTCACTGAGCGTGTTGTTGTGGGTGTAAAAGGTTTGGTTTAATTTTGACGACCGGCAACTTCACTGTATTTTACGTATTGAAATTGTGGTAATGATTTTTCAACTTCACAATAATGATGAAATAGATAATAAATAAGAGTGAAAATATCAATCACAGTCGAGTTATATTAGCAAAATATTATTTTAGTATTAATACTATTTTAGTACTAATATTATATAGTACTAAGTTTAAAAAAGTAGTATAACTTTTAACTATTGCCCTGTCAAATATTTCCCCAAAATTGTTTTACTTCTCCCCACATGTCACATACATTTTTAACACTTTTTTGACAATTAAATACTAAATAAAATACATTCCGTGCCCTATTTTCACACGGATTCACTGTGTTCATAAATTTAAATAAAATATGAGAGTTGCATTTTATAAGGATTATTTTTTATTTATTTAAATTGCGTTTGTTATAATATTATATTAAATTAAAAATTACTATGCACCAATGTTTATACTATTGAGTAAAAAACAGTGTGAAAGCGGCTATTTTATGAACAATATTTGTATTCAAGAATTGAATGAGAATTATACTTATAACAATTAATATACAAATAATGTCAATGAAATCTGAAGATACGAAATAATAAAATATGGGGTATATAAAACACATTCAAAGATTTCTATGATGTTCATGTACAAAATGTAAATAATTACTATAGTGTCTGAAATAAAATAATACATAGTTATTATATTTTGGTTTATAAAAATATACTTGTATTTGTATACAAATTGAAGTGTGACACACAGAATAATTATTGCAATCGCGAAAGGGGTAGCAGAATAAGATAGGCAAAAGTGCTCCCGGGGATAAAAACCTTTGTGTTGAAAATCGTATTTGAAGTGCAATAATGAGAAGTTTTTTGCCGGATTTAAATCAATTTGTCCGGAGTACTTCGCACAAACGAAAATAATGTGTTTTTAAACTTCTTATTCCAGTTTATATTTTTTAACCATATTACGCCTATGAATATTGACTCTAACCATTCTTGCAATATTCTGTACATGATTACATGTTTCGAGAATATACGATTTTGAACTTTATAATCTACAAAAAGGAAAGGAACATAACAAAAATCAATTTTTTTTTCTTAGTTTTTAAGAATATTTCACGTTCTGACACGGCTCATAAAAGGGCTAAATACAAATTGTAGCCCTTTAAATACTCTACAGTTTACGACCTTTTTTTTAAATTGGCACCCGACAACTCAATATAAGTAAAAGAATAATTTGATAGTTTCTTATTTATTTTTTTAAAATGAGTAGACCCATTGTAGCTACATGTTCTGAAGTTCAAAAGGAAACTGGTTGCAATTAATATTTTTTTCTAAAAATGTCTGCAGTTGTGTTTGTCACTAGATGGTGTACATTTTGAATATATTTTTAAGTAAATTCAGTAGTATGTGGAGTGTGAACCTTTATTTACTATTTTTTTAGATATTTGAAATATATTTTTACTTATCTATAAATTATTGTTATTATCTTACTGAATTTTTCTATCTCTGAGTTATTATTATATGCTCATTAACATTAAAATTGTTTGTCCTGGTTGTCCTTTGTTGATATCATTAATATCCAGTAGTATGAAACCCCATTAAAAGCAATTGAAGGAACAAACAATTTTATTTCAATACATACTTACGACAATTCTATATTTTCAATCCTTCAGTTACTTTAAAGGAAGACAAAACATCTGAGAATGCGTAAAGATGAGTTCATGAGAAAATTGCAACACTTTTGTGAAGATTTGAAATTCGAAATTTCAAATAGTTCAACTTCCCTTTCCCGAGCGCGCGTTACAGATGGGGCACCGCAGCGTCCCCTTGTGTGGCGTTGTTGCAGTGAGTGTAAAAAGTATGCGAACACCAGTGCTTTTAAACAATTTTTGCAACTATTAACAATTATTGCAATAATTACGGTATAATCAATTCATATTTTCATCGTAGTATTAACCTAAGTGTACGGAAAAGTTAATACCAAAAACAGCAGAAAAGCACATGCACAAAGCAGATAGAACCGTCCAAACTGCCTAAAATATATCTCGGGACCCAAAAAGTATTCAAACAGCAAGGACCACTGTAACATATTTAGCTCCCCTAAGTGAGAAACGTGGGAACACGTGAAAAATTTGGGACGATAGGTAGGATAGACAGCAGTAGCCATCTTGTTTCATAGTTACTCGAAAAATTTCTGTGTGTTTCCTGAAAATAAGAAATGGGTCGTAAAAGGGAAGGAAACGTCTTTGGAAGAGAAAAATTTTCATCACGTTGCACCGTTGCAAATCGTTGAGAGAAATTTCTCAGGTTTTAAACAGACTAAGGAATACCATTCTGGGAGTCATTGAGAGGTTTAGTGCAAGGAAAACATTTGAAAACAACAGGATGTCCAAAGAAAGCAGATGGTCGTGCAATTCTACGGAAAGTGAAAAAAATCCGCGATTAAGGGCACCAAAAAACATAGCGAGTGAATTTGAAAATGCATTGCAGATAAATATACTGTGCGAATTTTTTGAAGCAAAATGTCTATCATGGTAGAGTAGCCATTCCCAAATATTCTGTAAATAATATTAACAGAAGGGAAAGGTTAGAGTTTGCAAAAAAAAGTGTAAATAAAACGAGTGAGTTTTCCAAAAATGTTATTTTCAATATCTCGTAAAATACAAGTGTTAACAATTTTAACTTAAAATAAAAATGAATTCATGTGCCGATTAGTGCCATTCCCTCCTTCATTTCCGTGCAAATTGCATTGCAATAACTTCAATCGTTCAAACACTGCAGGAGGTGCTGAAATTACGTGATACACTCTGTGTAGTGAAAAAATCAGGGAACACTGGAGGAAACTATAATTTCCTGCTTCGTAATGATAACACTGTTTTCCTACATTTTCTATGTCAATAACTCACAACACTATCGCTCTCTAGATATTAGGAGAAATATCACGTTAGTCTTTCCCTACGATTCGAGTTCAGAGCGATAGGTCAATTTGTAGGAATCTGCAAATTTTTTTCTCACGGCGGAGTTGACCTTAACAACAAAATTATTTAAGTTCTTAGTTTTGGTGCAATGCGGATAGCACATATTAAAAAGTGCTTAAGGGAGGCAAAGTAAAATAAAATTAAAAATGAAAATGCTTTACACTTCTGATCAATTACCTTTAACATTAAAAAAAACACAAATGCATTCTGTAATAATATTCTCCTCCATTACTACGATGTAGGATTTTTATTTTTACGCTGCCTTTCTGATTTACAAATTTTGGAATCTTAATTATTATATACTGTTAAATAAATGTCTGGTGATTACATAATGCGCGGCTCGCCAAGCAAGAATTCACACTACAACAATACATTTTCCTGTGTTAAACTCCAGTCCTTCCCGGTCAGAAGCTTTGGCGAGACGGACAGGGGAGGTTTGGCACGAGGTAGTCAAGCGGCCCTTTGTCTCATTCTGCGGCGGCCGCGGTGGTAAGCGCTTGAGAAGTGAGCGGGAGTCGTAGTCACTGGCAGTTTATCGAGGATTCGCCTCCGTCAGAGGCTGGCAAATAGCGTCCAACCTGTCACCATGCAATCCTTGCCGAGTTACAATGCGGAAGGCGCGGGCGCTAAAAGGTACACGCAGAACCACTCCGCGACATACAAAGTTTATTTGGTAATAAAGTGCAAGTCTTGCACGTCGCAGGCCAGGCCGGATCCGCGCTCTCCCTCGAATCGGAGTGGCGGCTTGAACGTTGCCCGACGGAAATTTTCATCTGAACGAATCTGTACTCGCGAAACGTCTTCCTTCCACTTCTCTGCCGACGAGATAACATTCCATTGGTTCTCTGACGTGGCGACGTGTGAAGGCGCCTTAACTATCCAATCACATATCGACGCTCGCCCGGTGAAAATATGCGTAAAAATGGATGTTTCCGAAAATTGGAATTACATATTACATTCTGGGAAAATCTAAGCTCCGACTCCGGTAACGACTGAGTCAAGCAGTTTACGCTATTGATGGACACGAGCCTAAGATGGCCTGCGGAAAGAGAAACTCGTAGTGCGTGAGCGGGCGCGGGGCGGTGGCGATGAAAGGAAGAGAGTGCAGTAGTATTATTTTAGCGTGGCCGCAGAAGATCGAGGACTCACAGCTGCCGGAGGAGTCCACTCCTCAAACATATCAATTTAGAGGGGAGCGAGTCTCTTCCCAGCACGCGTTGACAGCCCTATTCCAGTAGTGTAAACATTGATCCTCACTTTTCGTATTCGCGAGATGTAAGCTTGCAGTTGCGTTTCCTACTACAGTGAAGCATTTGCACGTGTAAGCATTTGCAAGTTGCGTAAGGAAGCCCATCACAGTCAGACGCGTGAAGTAGTTGCAAAAGTATATCAATTTATGAAAGAAGAAAAAGTGTTGAAAATGTCAAAGCAGTTCTTGGTTGCTGCTACGGGTATTTCAAAAAGATGGTTTGAAGAATTAATAAGGAAATGGATTCTATTGAATCGGGAGAATCGTGTTCATTTTCAACTCAGAATAAAGAGAGGAAGAAGAACATGGAATCTTCTCTCGATGGTTTTTTAATTAAAATGATTCGCCGCACATTTATACAATGCACCATATCCAGAAATCGTTATTTTTTACCGGAAATGACACAAACGATAGTAATGTCAGGGGCACTGAAAGGTAGACAGGGAACGGGTATCAGTGTCAGTGGAAAAGATGTAGAGGACGAGAGCAAAGCCGGGCCATGAGGTGAATTTGGTGTTTCTCCATTACCGAACGAAGGCACTAAAGCAAATAAATTTCGAAGTTCGCTAGCACGTGCGTAGCGGTACGCTAATGTTTATGGTATAGGCAGACGCGAGCGAACGCCGCTACTTGGCCCTTCCCCACCACTTTCATCTTTCCCCTCTACTCGCGAATATACCCAAGGAAACTTTAGCTGTTAACGTATAACGACGAAGAGCAGCTCTTCCGGCACCCGCTTTCAGCAAAATTTTTGTAGGGTGGCCGCTGGGATTTGCGAGTAGAGGTGAAATCTCAAAGTGTTGGGGAGTGAGCCAGAAGAGGCGCTCACTCGCGTCTGTCCATACCAAAAACAATAGCCTACCGCACTGCACCTGCTAGCGAACTTGGAAATTAATTTGTTATCTAGGCTATCCGGGACGAGCCGCGTCACTGACATGGTAGCTAACGTTTCGGCCACGTACTGCAGTACGCTCTGAAGAAGGCCACAATACGCTGGCCGAAACGTTAGCCACCATGTCAGTGACGCGGCTCGTCCCTGATAGCCTAGAAAACACAAACTCCGGTCGTGGAAGCCTACGCAACCATATTTGGAAATTAATTTGCTGTAGTGTCTTTGGTCGGTGGTGGAGAAACAGCAAATTAACGGTTCTGCTCCCGTAAGATATAGATGATGGTGCGGCTCTGCTCTCGTCATCCATATATTTTCCACTGGGTCTACGTTTCATGAATAAGTCACACGGTGTCGAATTTCACTGCTCTGGTTTATACCAACATCCATTTGTATAAAGAATGAGTCACGTAGCACTTCCTAGAACTTTTGAACGGTTGAAGTTATTACAATGCAATTATCAGGGAAGTGCATAAGGGAATGGGGCTAATTGATACTTGTACTTATTTCTATTTTATAACTTGTATTTTATTAGATATTCGAGGTAACTTTG